ACTTTTTGTTTCTCACACCAGAGAAACAATGCAGTATTTAAACATGTGCATCTGCTGGGGATTTAGCTCAGTGGTTCTGGTGACTGCCTTGCCAGCGCAAGGACTTGAGTTCGATCCCTAGTACCTAAATAAATAAATAAACATGTGTGTCTGATTTATTTACTTAAGAGTACTGCCTCAAAAAAGGAGGAGGAGAAGAGGAGGAGGAAGAAGGGAGGGAGGAGGAGGAAGAATATGGTCTTAAGGTGCATTTACCTAGAAATGTCTCAAAATTATCCTTCTTTGTGGCAAAGTAGTACTCCTTTGTATAAAAAAAATCCACATCTTCTTTATCCATTTGTCAGTTGATAGGCATTTGGGCTGTTCCAAGATTTAGCTATTATATATTGTACCACTATAAACATGAATGTATGTATATAACTGTGGTAGGATACTTTTAATTCTTTTGGGACTATACCAAGAAGGTAAATAGCTGGGTTGAATGGAACCTCTAGTTTTAGTTTTTTGAGGAATGTCCACACTGATTTCTACAATGGTTGTACCAGTCTACACTCCCATCAACAGTGGAGAAGGGTTCCTTTTTCCCCAGGGCCCTACCAGCATTTGTTATTGACTAATTTCTTGATAACAGCCATTCTTCCTGGAGTGAGATGGAATCTAAGTGTTTTCATTTGCATCTCTCAAATGACCAGTGGTGCTGAACATTTTTTCATATATTTATTAGGCAGGTAATTTAGAATGCCATAAAAATTCAATGTCATACCAGGTATGGTTGCACGTGCCTGTAATCCCAGTGGTCTGGGAGGCTGCGGCAGGAGGATTGCATATTTGAGCCTAGCCTCAGCTCCTCAGTAACTTACTGAGACCCTATCTCAAAAAGTGGGGTGGGGGATGTAGTGAATATCACCTAGGAGAGTTGTGGTTTGATATACACAGGTCTGACATGAGCTCCCTGAGAGCAGGAAAGACATCTTAGTAATTTTGTATTTCTCAAGCACCTGGCAAGGTGATCTGCAGAGAGAAAATGTTCTATAATGGCTGCTGAATAAAAGACTGATTCAAATACTGAACCCTGCCCTTAGGGGGCTCAAGGCTACTAGGGAAGATAAAATGTCATAAATCACCCTAACATAAAGTTAGATGGTGGGCCATCTAACTTATTATCAAGGGCAATCAAAGAATGGTGGTAGTTCAAAGATACCACAGATCGTTCTGGACTGGAGTAGAAGGTTCATTAAGAAAGCCTTTCTGGAAGAGATGGCCTGTGAATTGAGTCTTAAAAATAGGAGGGACCAGCCAGCCAGGGATTTAGCTCAATGGTTCCACCGCCTGCCTCACAAGAGCAAGGTCCTGAGTTAATACCTCGTACAAAAAAAAAAAAAAAAGGAGGGACTTATAAAAGGGAAAAAGTGAAACTATAGTGGGTATACAAGCACTGATTCATCAGAGTGGAAGCTGGCTGAGGGACTCAAGTGGGGTCCTGGGGCCCCTTCTGTTGCATGCATTCATTACTTCTTTAAATGAGGGATCATGAGACCTTCAGAGTCCCCTAGGGAAGAGCTTGGATAGAAGAGCACCCTGGAGTTAGGGGTTGTGGCCATGTGACAACAAGATTAGAAATATTTCAATATACTGATACAACCATACTGGCATGTACCTACTCAAAGTCCTTAAATATAGACATGAAATGGCCTTATTCTCTTGTGATCTGTCAAAGCCATAGGGGCCTTTTTAGAATGTGAGCTGCAGAACAGTCGAATTCTCTATTCCATGCTGCATCCCTAGAGCCTAGAGCAGTATCTGGAGGGTTGGAGGAAGCTCAATAAAATGTTCATTCAATGGGTGAACTGGGACCATCAAGCTCATTCTGGTTATCTTTTCAGTCTTCTACCTCATCTCCTCATCCCGGGTCTGCCCCTCCAGTCCATGCTCTTATTAGTCCTCAGTATGACCGAATATGAAAACCAGATGGTATCACTCTCCTGCTCAAAAAGTTTCATGTTTCTCTTTGCCCAGAATATCATTCTCTGTTTTTACCAATTGGACTGCTACTTTGTCTTCTAGGTTCTGATCAAATTTTGCCTAATTTTGTAATAATTTGAGTCAGAATTAATCTCTCTTCCCTAAACATAGTATAATAGTATTTGCTCATTGGACTCATTGGACTGTGAGCTCCTAGGGCAGAAACTCTGTCTCATTCATTTCCATATGCCTAGTCCTACCTCGCTTGATACATAGTAGGTGCTAAATAAATACTGACTGCAAGAATAGATGGTATTCCAAGCAGTGAGAACTAGATTAGCAAAGGTGATGAAAAGTTTGGAGAAAAAAATAGCTTGTGATTATGAGTGTAGTTTAGTCGTAAAGCACTTGCCTAGAATGTATGAGGCCCCAGGTTTATGTGTGTGTGTTTTTTGAGACAAGGTCTCTGTGTAGTCCAGGCTTAGCCTTGACCTCACTACAAAAAGAAAAAAAGTTTACAAAAATGAATTATTTAATCCTATCACAGTGATATATGCACACCCATGTTATAGCAGCACAGTTTATAATAGCTAAATCTTGGAAACAGCCCAAATGCCCAGGAAGCAACAAATGGATAAAGAAGATGTAGATTTTTTTACACAATGAATACTGCTCTGCCATAAAAAAGGATGAGCTTCAGACATTTATAGCTAAATGGATGGACTTTGAGACCATACGTTTTTTTTTTTTTTTTTTTTTTTTGGCACTGGGGATCAAACTCAGGTCCTTGAGCTTGCGAGGCAGGCAGCGGAACCACTGAGCAGCTAAATCCCCAGCCCTGAGACCATACTCTTAAATGAAATAAATTGGACATACATTCAAATACTGAATTGTTTCTCTGGTGTGAGAAACTGAATGTGGAAATAAGGACAGAGATGTATTATGGATGTTGCGAAATGGGGAGAAAGTATTCAAATAGGAAGGGGAACAAGGGAGGAGGGAGAAAGGAAGGTAGAAAAAAAGTGAAAAATAGAACAACAAAATGGAAATAAAGCTTTTTTACATAGGGAGGGGAGGGAACTTGGGGGGGATAGGATAAAATAAAATAAAATTTATGTTTAAAAAACGAATGGTTTAACTGAGATTCCACCTCACCCCACAAAGAATGGCTGCTATCAAGAAATCACACAATAACAAATGTTGGCGGGGTTGTGGGGAGAAAGGAACCCTCCTCCATCGTTGGTGGGAGTGCAGATTAGTGCAACCACTATGGAAATCAATATGGAGATACCTCAAAGAGCTTGGACTGGAGGTTCCATTTGACCCAGCCATCCCTCTGCTGGGTATCCTTCCAAGAGAACTAAAAGAATCATATCACAGAGAAGTATGTGCACCCATGTTTATAGCAGCACAGTTTGTAATAGCTAAAACTTGGAAACAACCTATTTGCCCATCCGTTGGAAACTGGATAAAGAAGTTGTGGTTTTTCTATAAAATGGAATATTACTCAGCCATAAAGAGCGAGAGAATAGATTCATTCATAGGAAAATGGATACATATTGAAGATATACTCCTAAGTGAAATAAATAAGTCACACATGTGTAAATACCAAATAGTTTCCCTGGTGTGAATATTCTGCAACAATGCATAAGATTCTAATAAGATTACTGACATTTAGAAATTTGAAGAAAGGAGCTAAAGGTGTAGGGAAGGTGTGATGCGTAGGGGAAGAACAAAAAGGGAAAAGAAAAAAATGTGAGAGAATGAAAAGATGAAAATAAAGTGTTTGTAGATGGGGAGGGGAGGAGGGGGTGAAGGGAGGGCAGAGGTAAGGGGAAAAAATGAGAATCAAGACTTGCCATGTAAAGGTACATGATCCCAACAATGAATGTTACTATACTGTATCCCTAAAATGTACCAATAAACTCAATAAAATTAAAAAAAAAAAACAAAATGAATGGTTTAGCCAGTGTGGTGGTGCACACCTGTAAACCCAGCACTCAGGAGGCTGAGGCAGGAGGACTACTGTGAGTCTGAGGCAAGCCTAGGCTACATAGTGAGCTCAAGGCCAAGCCTGGACTACACAGAGAGACCTTGTCTCAAAAAACAAACAAACACAAAAATACAAACAAACAAATAAACAAAAAGGTATGATTGGACCCAAGTATGAGGAAGAATAGGAGGAGACAAAATGAAAAGGTCTATTGGATTCAAAGCCAGGCTCCTCTCAAACTCAGAATTCTCCTGCCTCAGCCCACCAAAATCCTGGGATTATGTGTGGCCCATCACACCCAGCTTTGGATAAGGTTTTGGGGGACCTGGAAATGAGAAGGAAAAAAAATGGACATGTTTTGGTAAGCAGTGGGGACCCACTGAAGAGGGTTTCTTTTTTGGTACGTGGTCCTTGCTCTTGTGAGGCAGGCAGTGGAACCCCTGAGCTAAATCCCTGGCCCCCACTAAAGAGGTTTTTGAGCATGGGAGTGAAAAGATGAAAAATTACATACATTTAGTTTACAGAGTGTCTCTGATACATACTTTAAGTGTTGTATTCATGCTCAAGTTTGCCTCCTACCCATCATTTATTCATCCATTTACTCACCTTCAGACTCCCCTACCGCTTGCCCTGCCCCTTTACCTGCTCCACGGGCTGAGCAGGGGTTGCTTTGCCACTGCCAGAAGATGCAGGGGCCCCAGCTCTCCCGTCTTTCCCCTTCCCTGCCTGGGACTGGGAAGCAAGCCAGGGTTAGCTGAAGCTGGCTGGCAAGCAGCTGGGTGGTGCCAGGGAGCGCCTATACAGTACCAGGTGGCGCCCCGGGTTCCAACTTGAGCCTGCAACCCTGATAACCTTCTGCCTGAGCACACACCTGCCCCTACTCCACCCTCACCCAGGCTTTGATATCGGGGAGGGAGCACCGGGCCAGACAGACCAGCGGGACTTTGATTCCATCCCTGCAAAAGGGCACTCTGAGTCAGCCAGCTCCCCTCAAGCATTGCTCCTCCCCCACCAGGCTCCTGTTTCCGATGCTGCACGTACAGCCCGTACACACCGTGTCTTGGGACACCCCAGTCAGCCGCATGGCTTCCCCGTGCCCCAGCCCCTGGCTCCCTCTGTTGATTCCAGCCCCTACTGTGCAACTGCTGCTGTTCCTGCTGCTCCTGGTGCCTGCCCATCCCCAGAGCCTGTCCTGGATGCAGGAGGATCCCTCCATGGAAGGAGGTTCATCCGGGGAAGATGAATCACTGGGCAAGGAGGATCTGCTCAGTGAAGAGTATCCACCTGGAGGGGTGGATCCAGCTGGGGAGGAGGATCCACCTGAAGTCCATTCTAAACCTGGAGAGGAGGAGGACTCTCTGAAGTTAGAGGATCTACCCACTGTTGAGGCTCCAGAACATACTCAAGGACCCCAGAATAATGGTCACAAGGACAAAAAAGGTAAGTGGTCATCATCCCCCAAATCTAGGCTCCAGGAAGTCCACACCGACCCTTCCCAGGCAGATCACTCAGGGAAGGAGCATGTACAGTACTCTAACAGTAGCCATTCCAAGCGTCCCATGCCATTAGACCACCCCCCCCGCCGCCGCTCAGAAACAGATGTGGAGAAGGAAAAAGGAGGGAGGACAACTAGAAGAGATGGGAAAGAGGCAGGGTGGAGAGAGGAAAAGAGGACTGTGGAGAGAGAGGAAGAGGGAGAGAAACAAGAGTATAAAGGGAGGAGAAAAGATCGGGGAGGGGGTCGCTACCAGAGGAAGGGCCGGGAAATTCTGCAGAGCTCACCTCATCTTCTTTCTGCAACGAAGAAACTGAGACTAGGAGGAAGAAATCAGCGGCCAGAGGACCCCAGTATCTTAACTTCCAAGCCAGGAACTTTGGGAAACAAAGTGGATACAAGAGAGGGCGGGAGATGAGTGGGGAGGAGGGAGGTGTAAAGGAGAAAGGAAAGATGGTCTACTGAGTTTGGAGACTGAGACACCCACTCTCCGCACAGAGCCTAGGGCAGCGGTTGCACACTGGCCTGTCTGGGGCCAGCCGTGCTGTATGCTGCCCAGCCGTGGCATTAAGTTTAGTTGCAGTCTACAGTGCTTTGCACCTGGTCCGCCTCAGGCATTGCCATTACCTGCTGTGTCCCTGTAAAATATCTGAGTTTGTGAGACCCTTGTGTGTTTGGGGGAGGACTTTTCTCTCTCTTTCTGGCCACTGGGAAGGGACTGGGCTCTAAGACTGGCCTGTTCATCTTTCTCATACAGGGGATGAACACAGTCACTGGCGTTACGGAGGTGAGATACCCACCCCCAGCACACACCCGACTGCAGATTTGCCCCACAACCATCCCCCTCACAGATCCTGGGCGTTCCCTCCCACGGCCTGCTCCCATCCCCGCCCAGTCCCTGATTTCCAGTTCCCCGCTCCGAAGCTTCCTAACTCTACCCCTCGTTTTATTTATTTGTTTTGTTTTGTTTTTCAAACTTCTGGGTTTCCTAAAAGCTCCGGACCTCATCAGACTTCTTCACCCCCCCACCCCCACCCTAGGCAACCCGCCCTGGCCCCAGGTGTCTCCAGCCTGCGCTGGCCGCTTCCAGTCCCCTGTAGACATTCGCCCCGAGCTCACCGCCTTCCGCCAGGCCCTCAGACCGCTCCAACTCCTGGGCTTTGAACTTCAGCCTCACCCGGAGCTGCGCCTGCGCAATAATGGTCACACCGGTGAGGGGGACTCGGGCTGAGCTTCTAGGAAGCTGCCGAGACTGACTGAGGGGTGGGGCGGGGCCAACAGATGGGTCGACCTCTACGGACGGGAGTGAGGCGGGCGCGGGGAGGGCAGTGCAGGTCCGGCTCATGAGCCGCTCCCCACGCAGTGCAGCTGACTCTGCCGCCCGGACTAGAGATGGCTCTAGGTCCTGGCCGGGAATACCGGGCCGTGCAGCTGCATCTGCACTGGGGCTCTTCGGATCGCCCAGGCTCGGAGCACACTGTTGACGGCCACCGTTTTCCTGCGGAGGTGAGCTCCGAGCTCTTCAGGGAGGGCCAAGGGCTTGTGGCCGGAGATAAGGTCCCCCTCTGACCCTGCTGTCCTCTCCAGATCCACGTGGTTCACCTCAGCACCACGTTCTCCAGAGTTGAGGAGGCCTTGGGACGCCCAGGAGGCCTTGCCGTGTTGGCTGCCCTTCTGGAGGTATCAAGCCTGAACATCCCATTCCCAGCTTCCCCAGGGTTTCAGTGTAACATCACCTTCATTCACTCATTAGTTCATTCAACACCCGCGAAATTCAGAAGCAGAGGGTCCTTGCTTCTAAGGAGCCCGCAGCCAGTGCAGGAGGCTGACATGATGGAAAGATGCAATAAAAATGGTGGTCACCGAGGAGGTGAAACTTGAAGTCTTCACTGCTGGAAAAGAAAATATTCCACCCAGAGAGAACAGTATGCACAAGGACTCAGAATAGAGCTCATCCAGGGAATAGCAGTTGCCAGAAACTGGACATCAGGAGGAGTAACTTCTCAGCTACTCCTGTGACCCATCATTTCTCCTTCTTGAGATGCAGTAGTTAGTGACCTCTATGGACTGGATCAAGGATACATATACCATGATTGGGGAGGGGTGGTAATTGAATAGATTAGATACTTGCTAGGCTCACTCACTAGTGCCAAGCTCATAGCAAAAAGTTCAGAGAGAAGTGTCCGAGAAATAACATGTTAAGACCATGCTCCGAAGTCCAAGCCATGAGTTTGAATCTGGAAGTAACACAAATACATGCAAGGTACATTATGGTTTTCTGTGGGGGCACCATGGAGTGTGGGTGAAGGTATCAATGATGGAAACCATAAAAATTAGAAGGTTCAAATATTGAGGGCTTAGTATCCAGAATGGTAGTTCCTCCTTCTCCTCCTCTTCTTCTTTTCCATAAAAAATACCAGTCCACCAAGCTTCTTAGTTTACAAAGCAAGAGTAGTAGACTTTGGATAATAAGAGTTGAGGAATGGAGTTGAGAAATGGAGAACTATGTTCCCATATCCACCCCATATTCAGGCCTCCAGCCATAGCCCTAGACATAGGCCTCAGTCTGTCTTGCATTGTCATCCTCCTTCCCCCCTTCCCAGGAGGGCCCAGAAGAAAACAGTGCCTATGAACAGTTGCTGTCACAGTTGGAAGAGATCACAAAGGAAGGTCAGTTTGTTGGACTGGCCACTATCTTCTGTACTAGTGGTTGTGAACCTACAGCATATATGTTATTTTCTAAGACAAAAGATGTTAATGTAGAGTTGTTTTTTCTAAACTAAAACTTACTACCTAGGTTTAATTGCCGTGTTGGCACTTTACAATAAATAAGTGAGTTTGGGGTTGCAGCTTGGCATTCGGTCTCTAAAAGGTTTGCCATCACTGTTCTGTACCTTAGTGCCTAATGACTTGCCTTTGGGAGCCTCAGATCTCAGGATGGAGATGGAGGGGGCTGAGGTGTCAACGGGCTCTGATTTTCATAACTGTGAAGCTGAATAGAGGCCAACAGTTACAGGCTCACAGCTGCCTACAGCCTTGATTTTTATGTTTTTTTTTTTTTTTTTTTTTTTTTTTTTTTTTTTTGGTACCGGGGATCGAACTCAGGTCCTTGTGCTTGCAAGGCAGGCAGGGGAACCGCTGAGCTAAATCCCCAGCCCCAGCCTTGATTTTTAAAAAACCAAACAGATAACAAAATTAGACCACCTCACACATACACAAACAGAACCAAAAATAGTGTTTGAAATCTGGAGAGCTTAGCTTTTTCTGAGAATTATTTTGCATTCATAAGCATCAGTATTTTAAATTGATAAATACTTTTTTGTTGGAAATATTTCCCTTCTCAGTCACTTTGGGAGTCTGGATTTTTTTTTTTTTTTTTTTTTTTTT